GGTCCGGTACGGGCGCGACACTGAGGGTTGCGATCCATTGCCGGTCACGAAAAAAAAAAAAAGACAAAAAAGGAATAAAGATGACCGGTAAGGGGATCGTAATCCTTGACTTGGTGTTGTCACCACCACGCTCTCCCAAGTGAGCTAACCGGCCATCCCTATATAAGGATCTGAACCGTGGCCTTGGTGTTATCAGCACCGCACTCCCCTAAGTGAGCCACGGGCCAGCCCTCCCTTTCCAATTTAACCCCCTAATTCCTGTGTTTCTTCTCCTTCTCCCACAACTAGCCTCTGAGAGCCAGAACGGGAATGGTCTGAGTACCTCACCAAGTCCTGGTGGTGGGCCACATCCCCCTCACACTCCCTCCCATCCCCCCAGCACCCGAATCACTCGAAGCCAGCCCAACCACACACCTGCTGGCCCTCCTGGCCCCTCCAGCAATCCTGTCAGTAACGGCAAAGAAACTCGGAGGAGCAGCAAGAGATAGCAAGACACTCTTCCTCCCTTTCCTCCACAACCAAGTATCTGCTGAAGAATAAGACAGCCTCCTACTAGGCTGTTGGCTTGGGATTAGGGTGGAGAGGGGTAGCAGTATTTTAGCTATTAAACTTCACTGGAGGGGTGATGAGCAGGGTCTTATCCACCCTAAGCCCATACTCCCACATTCAGTTGAAGCTGTCTGCCCCCTGGGATTCAGGATCTTCTGCCTGCCCTGCTTCCTCTTTAGAAATGACAGTTACAGTCTGTTTCTTGTATGTGATATGGGGGTCTAATTGAAATCCCTCCTTCCTAATAAATGTTACCACTCTGTACTAGATTCTTTTGCTTTTTGTGGGAAAAGGAAGAGGTTAGCAGCTTGGTACTTGGAAAGGTAGGATGTCCCTAGGAGACGGAGGGGAGATAGGTTACAGGTAAGGCCTAGGCAAAGCATGCCTGTCCCTTTAAGTCAGTGTCCCTCCCCTCCCTGCAGGTGACCCTTGCCCGCCTGTCTACCTGCCCCCTCCCCCCCAGCTGGAACCAAGAAGGCTGTGTCCCCCTTCCTCTTGGCGTCCTTCCTGTCTCCTGCTGTCAGGTAATGCCAACCTCGACCCCCAGGGCCAGTCACCCCAGACTTTGCTCTCCTGATCTTAAACCAAGTCAGACATCTGAGGGGAGCCCAAGTACTTGTCTCTTCTCCCCACCAGGGCTTTTCCTTTCTTGGTCATCGATTCCTAGATCTCTAGCTCTTACTTTTCTTCGGGTGAGGAATTGCTAACAGTATCCCACACATGCATCTGGGGTTCCCACTTATCTGCCTCTTCCTCCTCCTCCCCAGCTTATGGACACCTGGGTCCAACATTCCCAGGGAACATAGGGATGGGGGTTAGAGATGAAGCTCAGTGCCAGATGTAAGGTAGGTGGGGGTGGGAGTATATGTAGGAAAAGGCTAAAATGATACTAACTGGGTTACTGGTGAATTATTTAAGAGGAAAACACTGGGCCCAGGATTTACTTAGCCATGTGGATTTCCCAGGGGCAGAGAGTGGCTCCTCCCTACTTGGGGCCCAGCAGAGACTGACCTTTGACCCCACCCTGGAGACCAGTGAACCATTAACTCCTCTCTGATGTGAATCTTCCCACACTGGCCCCGCCCCTAACCCCGCCCCAAGGCAGGTGGGCCAGGGGGGGGGGTGCTTGTCCATTTCAGCCTATATGACGTGGCCTCCATTCCACCTGGACACCCAAAGCCTAAGCTTGACTTCCCCCTCTTAACATACACAGCAAGGCCTAACAGGGGACCTGAGGTGACAGCTCTCACGTTACCAGTAGGGGTGAGGCCCTGGGGATTGAGGGGGGATAGAGAGGTGGAGCAAGGTTGAGGGGTGGGGTTAAGGGGGGCAGAGGATGGATGATCAGTTCTGAAACAGGTGTGGGTAGAGCTCTGGGTCAGGGAGGTCCTCTAGGAACTGGCAAACAAGGCTGCTCCAGAAGGAGGCAATGGGGAGAAAGGAAGGAGGCTGGAGTGAGGACTGTGGCTGGACTCAGGTGGGGGGCAGACACAAGGAGTTCTGGTTCTCCCGGCCCTGAGCTGCAGAGCAGAGCAGTAGCTCTGACCCCCTCCTTGTTCTTCCAGGACACAGTCATCAGGATGTTCCAGCAGGAATAGAAGCCGGAACCAGGGCCTCTAACCCATTCCCTGCAATGATGGGGCTGCCAATGAGTCATCTGCTGGCTGGCCTGTGTATGGGGGTGGTCTTGGGCTGGGTAGGGGGCTCAGTCCCCAACCTGGGCCCTGCTGAGCAGGAGCAGAATCATTACCTGGCCCAGCTGTTTGGCCTGTATGGAGAGAATGGGACACTGACTGCAGGGGGCCTAGCTCGGCTCCTCCACAGCCTGGGTCTAGGCCGAGTTCAGGGGCTTCGCCTGGGACACCATGGGCCTCCGACTAGTCGGGCTGCACCCCCAGCTGGAGACAATTCCACACACAGGTACAAAGCCCTTCCCTCACCCCAAGACACCACATCCACCAGCTCCTCTCAGTGCTTCAGTCAGTCTCCAGTTGCCCGTTTCTGGCTTCTTAAAATGAGATCCCTGGAATTACAAATTCGTCAGAATCCAGTGCATCAGTATCTGTTCAAGGTCCCTCTCACTTATACTGACTTCTAATTCTCTCCTTCTCCCCTGGGCCCTCAAATTCCTTGCTCTTGGTCCCAGTGCTCAATGTCTCCAGGTTGATTTGGCTCCCAATTTGTAGCACTTTGGGCTGTCTTTTGTTTTCTTTTACCTCCATGGCCCCCATTCCTAGACCCTCCTATAAACTGACAATTCTCAGATCTTGCCAGGACTGATATCCTGGTATTCCTGACTGATATTTTCTGGGTCCCAGGAACTTCAGCCAGTTGTCTGGTCCTCCCTTTTTCCCTAAACTCTCTGGTACCCTCTCAAGGCAGATTTCTGGCTGACTGAGTCTACTATTTTGGGGTGGCTGGCCAGTATGGAGATCTGAATCATGACCTTGGTGTTTTAAAGCTGTGCTCCAACCAACTGAGCTAACTGGCCAGCCCTAAGGTGGGTTTCTAAGGGAACATGAGCAATTCTGACTTGCTATCCCATCTGTTCCAGGCTGCAGGACCCTGAGCTGAATGTGGATGTCTGGGCAGGGATGCCTCTGGGTCCCTCAGGGTGGGGTGACCTGGAGGAGTCAAAAGCCCCCCACCTGCCCCATGGGCCAGCCCCTTCTGGCCTGGGCCTTTTTCACAGGCTTCTGCTGCTAGACCACTCGTTGGCTGACCATCTGAATGAGGATGTGAGTCTCATGGTCTCTAGGGAGGGGAAAGGAGCCGTGGGATTAGGTGGCCTAAAACACTGAGTCAGTAATTCAATACTTATTTTTTTAAAAAAATCGTAGTGTGGTCTTAGCATATGTTATTCCAATAGTGAAATATGTTCCTTCTGGGCTCAGCGCAGGTGAGCCCACACCCAGAGCTTCAAGACCGTTTGGGGGCCACACTTGGCAAAGCAGGGAATGCAGAGAAGCAGCCCAGGGCAGGATCTGGGGAGGGGTATCTGGATAGGCACCTGAGGGAGTGGATGGCTGTCTTCTTCTAGAAAGACCATGAACCTACAGCAGAGGGCACATACAGCAGAGGGCAGATAAAGCTGCCTCACCCTGAAGCAGGCCCAGTGAGTGCCCCATCACAGGAAGCACTCAAGCAGAGGCTGGATGAACCTGTGACAGGGCTATTGAGAGGCAGGTTGGATGGCATTTCAGGTTCTTTTCCCTTCTAAGATTCTGGTATGGAGGCTCTCTTTGTCCAACCAGCTCCATCACCAAATCAACAAAATTTTCAAGGTTTGGGAGGGAGGGAAATGATGGCAATGTTCACTAGCACCCAATTCGCATTGAACTGACTACTTGCATTGGATTCAATATTCACTAATAATTATCACACATTGACTATAAGTACCCTCGACCACAGGTCCCTGATGCACCTGCCAGTGTGACCAAAGAGGACCCTGGGAGAGAACCAGGAGTCCATGCAATGCAAGGACATACGTTAAAGATCTGAGTCATAGTTCCTGGTGATTCCCCAATATATGACCCTCAACTCAACTCCCATAGTGTCTGAATGGCTCCCAGCTGCTGGTCAATTTTGGCCTGAGCCCCGCTGCTCCTCTCACCCCTCGTCAGTTTGCTCTGCTGTGTCCAGCCCTACTTTATCAGATCGACAGCCGTGTCTGCATCCAAGCCCCATCCCCAGCACCCCCAGGAGATCTGCTATCTGGTCAGTGGGTGAGAGTGGGTGGAAAGGGCACCTTTAATCCTGGTAGGCAGTGGGCCCCATGCCAAGGAAGGGGGTTTGTTGGAGTCCTCCCTCTCCTTACGGTGTATCTCTGCTCATCCTCACCTCTGGGCCCCTTCCTCCAGCCCTGGCCTAACTTCAGCCTCTGATTCTCCCCAGCCCTGCTTCATAGTGCCCTGGCAGTCCTGTTGCTCAGCCTCCCTGCTCCCCTCTCCCTGTTGCTGCTGCGGCTCCTGGGACCTCGTCTATTGCGGCCCCTGCTGGGCTTCCTGGCGGCCCTGGCCGTGGGCACTCTTTGTGGGGATGCACTGCTACACCTGCTGCCGCATGTACGTGAAGCCCCTTGTATCCCTGTCTCCAGTGGCAGAAAGCCTCATGGACCTGGTGTTCTCAGCCATAGGACATCTCGCCCCCTCTGTCAGCTCCCATGTCCCACTCCCCAAACTCTGGCTTCAGCCCACAGCTGCCTTCTAGTAGGGTGTATGAGTGAAGGCTTGCCACCTCCCACACGGGGGGGATGTTGTTGGGTGTGGGAGCTTCCAGGGTCTGCCCTGACCTCCCCTCTGTCAGGCACAAAAGGGGAGGCACACAGGACCTGGCGGGCAACCAGAGGAGGACCTGGGTCCAGGGATGTCAGTGCTTGGAGGCCTCTTCCTGCTCTTCATGCTGGAGAACATGCTAGGGCTCTTGCAGCACCGAGGGCTCAGGCCAGTAAGTGATACCTTTTTCTCCTCCTTCTGTTGAGACCAGAGTTCTAGCCGAGAACTGACCAAACAAGCCAGGTGGTGAGGGGCAGTATGTGCTCCTGGATCTCTGATGTTTGCCTTTTTGTGCAGGACCTGTGATCTAATAGGGAGTGGGTAGGGGCTCCTAAAGCATAGACCCAGGACTTCTGGCTAAATGGCCTCCTCTCCCAAGTTCAAGTCAACAAAAACAGAGGGCGGTGCCAACCTGGAAAGAGGATAGAGGCCAAACAATATCCCCAGGTGTCAGAGGTGGAACCAGGTGTTCATTTCCCACCTGTGGCTTGGCCTCCCCTAAGTCCCCAGCTCTGCTGCCGCATCCACCAGGAGGGACACCCTCCTATTTCAGAGATGCTGCAGGCAAAAAAGAAGGGATCTTGGAACACCAAACCTGGACCCAGAGGATGGCAGTGGGATGGCCCTTCAGCCTCTACAGGCAGCTCCAGGTGACTAGAGGAGAAAATGAAGAGTAGGTTCCCAGCTCACAGTCCTCACAGGCAGCCACCAACAATGTCCTTGTTCTTCTTCCTGCAGAGCCACGGGCTATGGGCCAGAGGGAACAGGACGGCCAGTCCCAACCAGCCCCAGCCCCTACCCCTCCTGGGCACCAAGGCCACAGTCATGGGCACCAGGGTGGCAGTGGTGCCAATATCACATGGATGGTCCTCCTGGGAGATGGTCTGCACAACCTCACTGATGGAATGGCCATAGGTGTGAGGAGAGGGAACAGAGGGAGGCAGGTCTGAGGGGAGGCCAGGGCTCCAAGTTACATGCTGGGGCTAGAAGAGG